CGGTGCTCCTCTGAATGACTGATGGCCTGAATTAGTACGTGAGAGAAAGTGTTTAAAAACACTCCTCCAGAGTATACAACTTGAGACTAAGGATGTGTGCAAACTAGGACTAGTTGCAGGAATTACAGAGAACATTTGTCAAAAGAAGGAAATACTTGATTGAGTATATGATTGAGTTGAACTTCCTGCATTTCTCTGGTAGATACCATGACTGTTTTGGTGGTAGTCAAAGGTGGAGTTTGGGAAAGGTAAGGTAGCAGAGCATCACCGAAAAAGCAGGTGTGATCTTGACTCATCCTTCCTCCAGCATCTAGCGGAATGTCGGTATGTGGCCTCCCATGACAGGAACGTGATGCTGTCGGCGTGGAAGTGATCATGTGCAGCTTCTGATGAGCCTGCATTTTATATAATGCTCTCTTCCTTTTCAGGAAACTAGCATGAATTTTTGATTCTGGTGTAAAAACAACCAAGAATCAAGGAGTGTGGCTAGGTCCATTGCTTGAGTAAAGCACGCATAAGGCCCTGGGGTTTAATCCCAGCACCACAAAAAAATAAAAAAGCAAAAAACCAAGGGAGAACTGAAACAGAGCTCGAATCCTTTGTAAGGAAAAGTACATTTGTTGTTGTTGTTGCCTTTAGCTTTCAGAGTGAGGGTGGCAAACGTGACTTACACAGCTAAGTGCTATCGCTCATGGTTGTTACAGCTGACCTTTTAAGGGAGAATAGGAATCACTGAGGATGAGTAATGGGTGTCGTGACCATGATTCTAACCCTGTTCACAATGGACACAAAGGCCACACACCATGATATTTTCCCTGGAGGAAAACAGTGACAAAAATAAGGGGTGTGCCCATGTATCAGAGGAGGCGGAGGACAGCTTGTAGATGAGCAAGTTTATTTAATAAGAATTTAATCTCCAGTTCTCTCTTCTAATACAGCTATTTTAAAATCATCCCCTCTAATTGAGTATGAGCCAAACAAGGGTTAACTAAGACCTGTCATTAGCAAGGTGACTATGTGCAGAGGCAGCCTTGGCTGAGTGAAGCCTGCCTGAGATGGGGATCAGGCTATGTCAGGGCAGGGCTCTCTGGCTAGACTCTACAAGCTTGGCAGCTGCATCCTGAAGATGAATGGTCTCAAGCAGTCCCGACTGGAGACTTGCCTCTCTTTTCTCCACTGCTACAGTGTAGGTCTGGGGCACGTTTCACGTGTGTGTGTGTGTGTGTGTGTGTGTGTGTGTGTGTGTGTGTGTGTGTGTGTGTGTGTGTGTTGTGTGATGCTGTGCAATCTGGCAGGTGGCTGGTGTGTTTGGTGGAGCTAGTTCAGGAAAACAAGCAGCCAGATAGGAAAAGCTAAATGCTGAATGTGGGCAAGGGAAAGAAGGTAAACGAATGTTAATATTTGATGTCAAAATATTATACTTTTATGCTGTTTCTTCAGAAATGTTTAGAGGGATTTTATAGATCTTTTTTGGTGACTTAACCATTGAGTAGAATAAATATCTATAAAATTCCCATTAAATGGTGTCTAAAATTTAAAGCAGCAGTCTACAGGCAAAGCGCCAACATTTCTTTTTTAAAAAAAAATTTATGATAACATCTAGCATTTTAAAATCAACCAGAAACTAGGCTTGATTCTGTTTAATATTTTGTAAGATTGGACATCTTAAAACAAGTCAATAATATTTATATTTTATAGCAATTCTGTGTTTATTCAAAACCATAGTTCTACTGTGATGTTAATGGAATGATTTTATATGGTTTTGTGTTTATTTAAGTGCTAATGACCACATTTCAAATTAAAAAAATATTTTGCTGATAGAGGTAGACACAGACATGAAATATGATAGAAGAGATCATTTTATTGACTGTAAAGTGTTTATTTCCAAAAAATGTTGTTCTTTGTAGGGTTGTGGAAAAAATAACTTTTCCAAGAGTTTACGATAGTTGTCCATACTTTGGGAACTGGAACTTGTGCCTATGGAATTTTGGAGCAGCCTAAGCTACCTTTTAGCTTGAAAAGTGTGCTAGAAAAATTTCATTACCATGTTTTGTGATATGTAATAAATTCAGGGTGCTGTGCTTAAGCTTCATTTCAATTCTAGTTGGGAACACCCGTGTTCATCCCCTGCCCCCAGGTTACATGTGAAAGAGTAAAGTCAGTCCCTGACTCTTACCAGATGTGCATTGTTCTATGTGGAGTAAGCAAACTAGAATCACGACTTCTAACACTCTGCTTTCATGTTTGGGAAGAGTTATGTTTTCTCTCCTCTTCTGATGTCTCTTTAATGAATATGTTGTCATTATTTGTCCTGGGAAGTGGCACTTTGGGCCACCTCTCAACCTTCTCCATGATTTATGTTGCAAACAATTTCTCTGTCCCATGTCTGTTGCTGTACTCTCTTGTCGACTGAATCCTATTCTTGTGAATCAATGAAGATGTGCTGGAGACAGTTTTTGTTTTATTACTCAATTATATTATATATGTATTTCAGTGAAATGTCAACCCATCAACAGAGGATGATGTTAAAAATTATCCAAATAAATAGTTTTCTATTTCTTTTAATCAGATCTAGTCCCATCAGTTGAATGACAGTAAGACTGCCTGTGGTTACAACTCAGAAGTGTTCTTGTCCCTCCTACCTTGTAACAGGCATTAATGTTCGCAGTTCCCTTGGGGGAAACATTGTACCCATGTTTATTTTTGTAGAAATAGCAGCAAATGTCTTGAGCCTTGTCTCTTCTTGTTTGATCCTCAGAATTGTACCTGTTGTTTCTTCTCAGTTGACCCAAAAACAGGCCTAGCTTATCATCCCTTGCTAACTGTACCCTAGAAAACAGAACGAATGGATTTCAGGCTAGCCAATACTACTAGGTATGTCCTTTCTTCACATGACCTAGTGTAAGAGCTTCTGCCAACATAACATTGCTTTCATGTTATTTCCATCGAGGGGCAGATAGATCTGCCTCAGAACCAGGCGATTCCCTGGGAATTCTGAAGGAGAGAATGTATGTGTGAGGGTGCAAGTGTTGGGTATGTATGTGTCTGTTGTCAGAAGGGCAGCAAGGCAGAAAGCAGCTTCTCTGAACATACCAAGAATTATTCTGGACCTGACCTGGGACATGTCTGTCTCTCCCCTACAAGACCCCAAGCACTCCTAGATGGGAACCCTAAAGCTTTGACTTCTGGTCCCTCCACCCCCTACAATTCATGAAATGAAAGGACCTGCTGTTCTGTGTTCACAGAAGGGGTCATGGCTGGGAATGCCATTTTTAACAGCAGCATCTCGTAGGCTGGGTGCTCTGTGGACAAGGCTCTTCCTGTATCTCCTTTAGGAATTAATATCACCATCACTGGCATCTGCAGAAGCGAGTTTTGAGCATCCCCACCAGGGCAGCCCTGCTGGATCTTTCATGGCTTCAGCTACTATCCTTCCCCTTCCCTGAACCACTGCCAGGCGTCCATCTCATGCAAGTCTTAGGTGTGGTCATCACTTGGTGGTCATCACAGCCCTACTGGGTATTGAGAAGGAAGTGGTCTCCTCCCCTGAGGGCTCAGACCTCAGCAGCTCTCCTCTGCAAGCTACACTGAGGTTAGAGCCTAAGCTGCAGATAGAGCTTTGCCAGCCAGGGTCTTAGCTCCTTTGCCGGCTTTTAGCAGCTACTGAGTCATAGGTAACTGATGGTGAATGAGGAGATGCTGCCTGTACACACACAACCACAGACCAGAGGCCAGAAATGACATGCCTCTTTCAGATGCATATCTTATGAAGAAAGATAAAGCAGCTGCAGGGCCCCTATAAATCTTTTTTTTTTTTTTTTTTTTTGGTCGTGGGGCTTTTACTCTGCACCTGGGCACTGTCCCTGAGCTTTTGTGCTCAAGGCTACCATTCTACCACTTTCAGCCACAGCTCCACTTCCAATTTTCTAGTGGCGAATTGGAGATAAGAGTCTCACAGACTTTCCTGCCTCAGATCTCAGCCTCTTGAGTAGCTAGGATTACAATTGTGAGCTACCAGCACCCAGATCCTGTAAGTCTTTTAATTCAACATGCTGGGGTTTTTTCCCCCCAAACTAATTGTCAAACATAATTTTTTCAGTCAGAGACCATATCTTCCCCGTGTGCTTACCTTCCCCTCAGTGCTTACAGATGTTTCCCTAACACAGCTGTGAACAATAGAAGGGTCCTGTTAGATGGGGCCAGTTCAAGGAGCTAGGGAAAAATCAAGATTTCTGGGAAGGCCCTAGAGAGACCCCCAGAGCATCTTGCACTGAGCTATACTCTGCATGAGTGGTCTCCAGGAACATGCCTCCTCTATTGCCAAATACTCAGCCTGTGCAGGCTGCAGGCCAGGTACCAAGATGACCATGGCGGCCTACTCCCTTTGCACAGCAGCCCGGGTGTGTGTGTGTGTTGATCCATTTCCTCATGGTCAGAGTGTACCGGTGACTGCTGTGTGTATGTGTATGTGTGTGTGGTGTCACTCACTCGTTCCATGGCTTCTCAGTGGCATCAGTAGCCCTGATGAGCACTTGGTACTTGTTTGTCTGGCCCTTGTTCTTAGACTCTCTCATCCTAGATACTGTAAGGGTCCCTTATAAACTCCCTTTAGAATAGCCAGTCTATGTACCCTGCCATGCTTGGGGTTCAGGAGGTAAATTCTACAGGTGGGCCATCATTTACTTGAGGTGTATTCTGGCTTTGGCAGAGCCCAGTACTAGTCACTAGGCAGTATACCTGTACAAAGGGTATTTGCAGAGGAAGTTACTGGGTTGTAGGTCGTAAATATTTTCATTCTAGAATCTAGGTAGTCTGTGATCTCCTGACCACACCCCATATCCCTTAGACTGCCTTTAGTTACACTCAGTAAGTCAGTTCCTTGATAGCCTTTGGACAAGGCTACTCCATTCACTGCTGAATTCCGCAGGAGCAAAGCCAAGCCCCAAGCTGGACCCAAGGCCCATGTTATCTAACCTGTTCTGCCATTTTTATTGATCTAGGCGGGATTAAGGACATTGCACGACATTGGGCCAGAAATCCGGCGTGCTATATCCTGTGATTTGCAAGACGATGAGCCAGAAGAAACAAAACGAGAAGAAGAAGATGTATTCAAAGTAATTATTTCACGCCTAGCTACACACTGGCCACCTGGAAGTAGTGGGACAGGACTGTAGTTGGGGCAGTGACAGTCCATAGAGGAGTCTAGAGAACGCAGAGAAGCCACAGGGTCTAGAAGAGCTTTCACACTGTGCCCTCTCCTCCCTTTGCCAGTCACCGGCACCTCTTCTGAGATAGGCCAGCTCCTTCTCTGAGATTCTCTCTGCTCCTGATTTTTAGCTTCTGAGGAGCTTGGCCATAGATACTGACCAGTGTAGAGGGATATCCTGGGTCCTTCTAGAAGCTGCCTACACTCTCTTCCTTCTCTGGACCAGCTCCTTGATCTGCCAGTCAACCCTCAGCCCCAAGCCTAGAGTGTATCTACTGCCCCACCTTGTGTCTGCCCATCACCCCAACTGGGCATAAATCACCTCAGTTTACAGCAACTGGAAGAGTATAGTTGAGTAAGAGAAGACAGTTTGCTCCCCAGCTCAAGAATCAGTAACCTTCCTCATTTCAGAGGGACCAACTGCCATATGATACATTCACCTGACCACTGAGACATTCAGATGACATTATAGGGATCGTATGGAGCTTACCTAGAATTTGTTTATTCATGTAGAAAAAAATTACCTAACATGGCTAGACTGCATCAAATACTTGTTAAATTACCTGGTGTTGTCTCCCATTATTTTGCAGAGAAATGGTGCCCTGCTTGGAAACCATGTCAATCATGTTAATAGTGATAGGAGAGATTCCCTTCAGCAGACCAATACCACCCACCGTCCCCTGCATGTCCAAAGGCCTTCAATTCCACCTGCAAGTGATACTGAGAAACCGCTGTTTCCTCCAGCAGGAAATTCGGTGTGTCATAACCATCATAACCATAATTCCATAGGAAAGCAAGTTCCCACTTCAACAAATGCCAATCTCAATAATGCCAATATGTCCAAAGCTGCCCATGGAAAACGGCCCAGCATTGGAAATCTTGAGCATGTGTCTGAAAATGGGCATCATTCCTCCCATAAGCATGATCGGGAGTCTCAAAGAAGGTCCAGTATTAAAAGGTAACCTTTAAAATGTGTTTATGCTGGTAATATAGTGTCTGCCTGTGTCAAATCTGCCCTGGGAAGCAAGGCGAGTCTCTCTCCCTGTGCTCTGGCACATGGAAAAGATTCCCTGTAGACATTTGCACTAGAACCTTTGAGTCCACTAAGACCACCTGCCATCCAATACCCTGCTGTATTGAGGGTCTCTTAAAACAACAACCACAGAATCCACCCTTCCCAGTTAGTGCTACATAGTGTGTGCCAGGAGTTAGTGAATTTCTTTGTAAAGGACTAGAGAGCAAATATTTTAGGCTTTGAGAACCACATAGTATCTCTTGCATCCTCTCTTCCCTACCACCCTACCACTGCAGGACAAAAGTAAGTAGAGACCATATTTAAGTGAGCAGATTCTCATGTGTGTTCCTATAAAGCTGTATGCATAGATGATGAAACTTGAACTTTTATGTATTCACATAGGATGAAATTATTTTCTTATTTTGATGATTTTTTTCAGTCCTTTATATAAACTGTCTGTATTACACAGGTCCTACAAAAGCATATTTAGCCAGCCCCCCTCAAATAGGTAGCCTGTTATATGCACTTTAAATGCTGTTGAAAAATCTTTAACTTGTATCTTCTCCCTCCCATCTTATGCCTTTCCTGGATAGAACCCGCTATTATGAAACTTACATTAGGTATGTGATGATTGCCTGTTTTTAATGTTCTGTCGGGTTACCAGCTTGCCTCTCTGATTGCTGAGAAATAGAACAATTTCTTTGAGCCAAGTAGCTTGATGGGTTTTCATACTTCAGGACTGTGGCCTCAGGGATCAGAGACCATTGTTTTTTTGTTTGTTTGTTTGTTTTGGGGGTCTGGTCATGGGGCCTGAACTCTGGGCCTGCGCACTGTCCCTCAGCTCTTCAGCTCAAGGTTAGTGCTCTACCACTCGAGCCACAGGGCCACTTCCAGCTTTTTTCTTTTTGCTTATGTGGTGCTGAGGAATTGAACGCAGTGCCTCATGCATGCAAGGCAAGCGCTCTACCACTGAGCCACCTTCCCAGCCCCAGAGACCATTGTTTGTTTCTAACAAAAGAGCCCACCCAGTCCATATCTTTGTAGACTCTTGCCATCCAAGGGCTGGTAGGCATGTCCCAGACCTGCCCCAGGTGTGTGGAGCTGGGCAACTCAGGCTGCTTTAGAAGGATCAGGATTCTTGTACCAGCTTAGGGCTTAGGAAGAGCATGACCTAGATCTCCATCTTGTTTCTCCCTGGGCCCAAGCTCCCCGCCCCCGCCGTGTGGGTAATGTATTCCACTGCATGTGTTCTACCCTAGGTCAAATTGTGGGCAAAGGTGATTATTTTTGTTTGAAACAGGGATGAATAAATCTTTTGGTTTTATTACGTCTAATAAGGTCAGGAGCTCCTGAGGTACACTAAGGAAGCAGGCTCCTCCTTTGGAAAGAAGGCTGATGTCACTGAGCCTGCTGGTTCTCCTGAGGCTCAAGTCCAGGAGGAGTTTCTTTCAGGGAGATGATGTGCCAGCCCTGGAGCAAGACAGCCTTTGGCTTCCAGGAGACACTTTCCATGAGTACCTCCTGTGATATGGTTTCCAGAGCTCCTTTGCCAGCCAGCTTTGATAAAGTGGAGTCAGCTGGAAGGAGGTCTATGTCCCAGATTCTGAGGTCACCTTGGATGCAGCTGGGGCAATAGTGTGATTGGTGGGAGGAGAGCAGGATCTTTTCCCAAGACTGCTGACCACTATGTGCAGTGCTACAAGTCCTTCTTGCTGTTCTCTGAATTTGATTTGTGCCTGAGGCTCCAAGGCTTCTGGAAAAAGTATCTTGGCCAAACATTACTCTGGATATTTACAGAGACACGCTGCCCCCAGCATTATTGCCAGGAGCCTAAACAAGTCTCATGGTGTGTGGGGAGAAGCAGAAGCTCCTTGGAGGGCTGAGTGCTGCAGGCCACCCCTGCCCCACAGGCTCTCAGTTCTACCTCCCAACCACAGGTCTGACTCAGGAGATGAGCAGCTCCCAACGATCTGCCGGGAAGACCCCGAGATCCATGGCTACTTCAGGGACCCCCGCTGCTTGGGGGAGCAGGAGTATTTCAGTAGTGAGGAGTACTGTGAAGATGACAGCTCTCCTACCTGGAGCAGGTGAGGAGCTCAAGAGCCTCCCCTCCATCCCTCCTCAGTCTGCTCAGGGAGCCAGGATTTTCTCTGAAAAGCAAATCAAGAGCCTAAGCTCCAGGCCAGGGACAATGGGGGCCACAGAGGGAATGGAGCCTGTGTTCTCATTCTGCTGCCTTATTAAGTGCCTCTGAGACCCTTCAGTAAGAGCTCTTTGAACTTGTGGATTGGGCCTCTGGGCCGTGTGTGTGTTTGTGTGTGTGTATGTGTGTGGTGGGGGTAATTGTTGTTAGTCATGGGGCTTGAACTCAGTGCCTGGATGCTATCCCTGAGTTTTTTCACTCAAAGCTAGTGCTCTACCACTTGGAGCCACAGCACCACTCCCAGTTTTCTGTTGGTTAATTGGATATAATAGTCTCATGGATTTTCCTGCCCTGGTTGGCTTTGAAGCAGATCCTCAAATCAGAGTAACTAGGATGACAGTCATGAGCTAACAGCACCAGACCTTTTTTTTTTTTTTGTAAAAATACTGTATAGAGGGGTTATAATTACATGGGCAAAATAATGAGTACATTTCTTATCAAGCATTGTTGCCTCCTCCTTTGTTTCCCCTTCCCATACCTTCCCATCTCCACTGCCCCCCTCCCCCCGCCAAAGTTGTAAATATGTTTTTCGACATAACAACTTGTACATCTCATTGTTGCAATGGGTCCACCTGTATCCCTATTTAAACAATTTGTTTTTTCCCTTCCCCTCCACAAATTATACCAACATCAAATACAGTGAAAGCAGGGGTTATACCGTGGTGGGGGGCATACAAAGCAACAAAGAAATCATCTTATAAATATGTTAGAAACAATCGCGTGAAAGAAAAAACATTTGAATACTTATCTTGGGGTAGGTCATGGGGCTTGAACTCTGGGCCTGGGCGCCATCCCTCAGCTCTTCAGCTTAAAGTGAGCGCTCTACCACTTGAGACACAGCACCACTGCCAACCGGGCCTTTAAAATAAAAAATCAGATCCCCATCTTCTGAGACATGAGAGGGTTTTTGTTGTTGTTGTTGTTTAAACTAGGGAGATATTACCTGAGGCTGAATTTGCATAAAGGCCCAGTCAGCCTGTAGTTCAGCTGGAGTCTCCATGCGCAGGCTCCGCTCCCTGCTCCCACCAAGGTACTTCTGTGGAGAATGAGAGATCAAGAAGCCAACTAAACTATTGTCTCACCACCTCACCAAGACCTGAGGCTCCTGAATCTTAAGTGGCCCCCTTTGCCCCCAGGAGTGAACTAAACTCGTTCCCACTTAGTTGGTCCTTCCCTCTACCTCCCTTGGACATCTGAATTTCACAACTACTGATTCTTAGCCAAATGGACCCTGTGTTCTACAGGGGTTTGCTACTCAGTGTCCACTGCTTAGAAGCCTTCAGCTAGCCCTGTGGGCCTCACTGCACTCTCTTCAAGGACTTTGCTTTTTATGTCCTTCCTAGAATTGAAAAATGTGCCCCTGCCACCAAAAAGAAAAACAAAAACCCACCCAGGGGAACCACTGCCTATTCCTCACTAGCCTAGTTCCTATCTGCTCTCCAGACTGCATTTTGTATGTCTAATTATGGTATTTCCTGTGCTCTTTGGGAGTGGAAACTGTATCCCTGTGAGCAGCCTGGCACCTGGCAGAGGGCAGACTGCCAGGCAAGTCACTAGGAGATGACATTCAAGATGACAAGCTTCATGTACCTGTGATCACATCTGCCCTGGGCCTGCAACTGGCCCAGGAAGGGAAAAGACCAGCACATCACTCACCATAGGCCTCCATCCCTGAGCTTTCTTGTGCTCTACATCTGGAATCTTCCATGAAATACAACTGTCTTGTTCTCCACTAATCCTACTGAATGCATTGGGGTGGGGGTGGGGATGGGGAGGGGGACTGAGGGTGGGAGGGGTTGGGTGGGGGTCTTCCTGGGAGTCTACAGACTTGTTGCCCATAATCTCACATGCACCTTCTCTTTGGCCCTTTCTGACCACCAGGCAAAACTACAGCTACTACAACAGGTACCAGGGCAGCACCATGGACTTTGAGAGGCCCCGAGGCTACCATCACCCCCAAGGCTTCTTGGATGATGATGACTTTCCCATTGGCTATGACTCACGGAGATCTCCAAGGCGACGCCTACTACCTCCCACCCCGACATGTGAGGCTAGATTTCTTATTGGGGGGGTAGATTCTTCCAGATAACACTGTGCCTGTCTCCCCATCCCACAGAGGCATATGATAGAGAGATTTGCCACACCATGTTACATCTTCAAGACCATTGCCTAGGTGGGCAGTGCATGGACTTTCCTTTCCCTGACATCCATATGCCCTGCCATGGAGTAAAAACCGTATTAGCACTGTTTTTGGCTCTTTTGGAGCACAATTAGAGTCAGTTTGTGACCCTAAAATTGCCCCATACACACAACTGAGAAGCGGCTTTTTGTGTGTATGATACTTACCTTTGAACCTGGGTGTGTCCTGAAAGATAGGAAAGACATAGTATACTTTTGATGTGCATAGCTGTGCCCCATTCCATGATGAAGAAATAAAATGAGCTCAAGCCCAAGCCAGACTTGCCCCCAGGCCTGTCTTACATGTAAACCCCTGCCTCTCTGGAGCCCTTGGGAGATCTTAGTGTCCACCTCTCTTTTGTCCCCAAAAGGGCTTATCCTTCCATTCTGCTTTCCTCCCTCTCCCTCATCTTTGCCTCAGGTCTTTCAAAACTCTGAACTGACAGGACAGGTTTTGGCCCTTCTAGGATAGTGACTTTCCTTCTGGGACCAGAGACTCTTTCCTGCTGAGGGTAGTGGGGTGGGGGCTCCCCTGCCTTCCTCCTTCATCAGTGTTATGACTTACACTGGCAGATTCTGATCATCCTAAGCAAAGAACTCAGGGCAGGGAAAGAAGTGTAGCTGTGGTTCCTGCCAGTTCCTCCTGGCTGGGCAGTTTAATTCTGCAGAAGTGTGGTCATTTTGGTGATGATTAAAGAGCATCCATTTCTGATGTCTCTGGAGAATGAAGTTTAATTTTGAGCAGGACTCTTAATTTGCAACCCAAAACAGCCAAGATACAGTGGCTCCTGACTCTCTGCCTACCACCCACACAGTAAGAAGTATGGTGCTTGGAGCCCCCGTGCCTTACTCCAGCTGTCCTAGCCTGCGGGGTTGTGGAATCAGACCCATTTCCATAGTTAATATTTAATTGGACAGCCTCAAACACTTACTGCTGAATGGAGCTATTCCATTCCCCATAAATATTAGATGAAGGATGTACAGATTAAGACCAGAGAGGCCCCCTGCCTTTGAGATCCCCCTACCCCCAAACCCCCATATTCCTCTGCCACCATCCCCAACCCAGCCAGTAACCAATCCTGGCTGGGTAGAACCAGTCACCTGCTTCATCCGGAAGGGGGTTAGCTTTTCTATGGGGGCAGCTCAGAGCATGTGCAGGAAGAACATTTAACTGTGGTCTCAGTATCCTTAGCCACAGTGGGACAACTGCATCTTCCAGAGACCATTGTGAAGAGATCACCAGATGAGAGAGGCTGGAGGCTGTTTAAGATACAGAAGAACACTGTGCTTATGGGAGGCAGTGTTTTTTCCTGGCTCTGAACCCCTGGCTGGCCCCAGATCTTAGTTCCTAAACATGGCACTGGCAAGGAAAACTGGGTGGCACACAAGAGGAGATGTTCTAAGAAAGTCAGCTGTCTGTTTCAGATGGGCACCTCAGGTAGGAGGTCCTAAAATGCCCCTCATTGAATGCTGATACTCCCCAAGGCAGGAATTATAGGCTTATGGGGTTTTTCTGGGGCTAGGAAATATACAAAGCTTAGAAAGCAGAGAACAAGGAAGGAAAAGTTAAAGTAGCTGTCACCTTGTAATATACAAGTAAGATGCACTGAAGCCAACCCTGGTAAGGGTAAAGGGAAGTTTCCAGGAGGAAAAGCCTCTGGCTCTAACAAAGGGCCCCAGAATTCAGACTGATATCCTGGGCCTGGTGTCCAGTGAAGCTGATAGTTGTGGGTTCCCTTGTCATCCTTATTCTGTGAGGATGGCTGTCAGCAGATGGTATGTACATAGAGCTGTTCTTTGCTTCTTCACTGCTAAAAAGGAAAAGAAGCTAAGTACCAGTGTCTCATGCCTGTAATCCTAGCTACTCAGGAGGCTGAGATCTGAGGATCACGGCTCAAAGCCAGCCCAGTCAGGAAAGTCTGTGAGACTTTTAAATAAACCACCAGAAAACTGGAAGTGGTGCTGTGGTTCAAGTGATAAGAGCGCTCGTCTTGAGCTGAAGAGCTCAGGGACAGCACCCAGACCCACAACCAACAAAAAAGAAAAAGGAAAAGAGCAGAAAGGTGAACTCAACAATCCAGCAGGTTTTATTTGGGAAGAAAACATGGGAAGGGCAACCAAACCTCCTGCAGCCCAGCTGAAGAGGAAATGGTGTACCTCCCATATAACTAGGGTCTCTTGATTAGGCAGAAAAAGTGAAGTCAGGCAGAGCAGATAGAAGTGGTATGAGACAGAGGCAGGATGGGAGAGCAGTCTTACCTTGAATAGAGGGTTTCAGGGTTTCAACAGCATCTGTGTCTGCCAGGGGCATCAGCACCAGACATGGCCTTAGTCTCAGGCTCTCCTCTAGGACCAGCAGGTGCATTTGTTTAGGGGGAAGGGGAGGGGAGATGATCCAGTGGGGTGGGCAGCAAGGACAGTGAATTCTAAGATATGGCTGTCAGGGGGAAAGGTGCGTGCTCTCAGTTTAAGTTATTCTCTATCACTTGGTCTTTCCCAGCAGAAGAATTTACTTATTGTTGGGATGAGCTGATGAGGACAAGAAGAATCCCTCCCTTTAAAATATAAGCACATGGGGCTGGGAAGGTGGCTCAGAGGTAGAGTGCTTGCCTTGTATGTATGAGGCCCTCGTTCAATTCCTCAGCACCACACAAGCAGAAAAGGCTGGAAGTGGCACTGTGGCTCAAGTGATAGAGGGCTAGCCTTGAGCTGAAGAGCTGAGGGACAGCGCCTAGGCCCAGAGTTCAGCTCCATGACCAACAATAAATAAATAAACAAATAAATAAATAAAAACATAAGCACAGAATGCCAGAAACACTTGATTGGGTAAGGCAAAAACGATATAGTCAGGAAATGTCAGATTGTAGAGTGACTCTTGTCCTTGTTCCCTGTCATGTGTCTAAATGCAGATTCACACTCAGCATCAAGTGTCCTATAGGCTATCTGAAAACAGGCAAACATTTAAAAGTAATTAATCTTCACTTAAAAAAAATCTCTCAGTGGGGTACCAGTGACTCACCAGCTACTTAGGAGGCTGCGATTGGGAGAATAGTGGTTTAAGGCCAGTCTGGCCTTTTCAACCAATAGCTGGGTACGGTGGCACACCCCTGTCATCCCAGCTATGTGCAAGGCTGAGATCAGTTCCACACCAGACTAAACAGAAATCCACAATATTCTAGCTCAGTGGAAGAAACTGGGAATGGTGACACATGCCTGTCATCCTAGTTATAATAGGAAGTGAAATCGAAGTCCAGGTACATGCCTAGGCAGAAATGAAGACCCTATCTTGAAAATAATCAATTCAGGAGCTGGGAAGGTGGCTCAGTGGTAGAGCACTTGCCTTGCATGCCTGAGGCCCTGGGTTCGATTCCTCAGCACCACATAAGCAAAAAGAAAAAACAAAGCCGGAAGTGGTGCTGTGGCTCAAGTGGTAGAGCGCTAGCCTTGAGCTGAAGAACTGAGGGACAGCGCCCAGGCCCAGAGTTCAGGCCCCACAACCGGACCCAAAAAAAAAAAATTTAAAAAAAAATCAATTCAAAACAGGGCCTGGAAGCATGGCTCAATGGTATAGTGCCTGGCTAAGCACACACAAGGCCTGGAGTACAGATAGTAGTGTCAAAACAGAAATCCTTCAGGTGAGATACTTCCTTTGTCCTTTCCCCACCCTACACTTTCCCAGAGTTGAGGGTCCTCACTATGTAATTCCTTCTGAAATTCCATCTTTTTTTTTTGGGGGGGGGGGAGTCCAGTCGTGGAGCCTGAACTCTGGGCCTGGGCGCTGTCCCTCAGCTCTTCAGTTGAAGGCTAGCACAGCGCCACTTCTGGCTTTTTTCTTTTTTCTTATGTGGTGCTAAGGAATCGAACCCAGGGCCTCAGGCATGCAAGGCAAGCACTCTACCACTGAGCCACCTTCCCAGCTCATGAAATTCCATCTTTTGAACATACTGACTCCTAAGATGGTGCCCAAGGGCTTCCTCACAATGCACAATGTGCTTTCGCTTCTCAGCCCATCGGAGATCCTCCTTCAACTTCGAGTGCCTGCGCAGACAGAGCAGCCAGGAGGATGTTCCGCTGTCTCCTGCGCTCCCCCACCGTGCCGCTCTGCCTCTGCACCTGATGCAGCAGCAGGTAAGCTGCCCTGGCTCTGACTGGATCCTGCCAGGCATGTGCCCTATCCCTTGGCTGCTGGCGCCTAGAGGGAAGGAGAGAACTTTCACCTCCAGTTTGCTTCAGGCCTTGGATCAGCCCCAGAAATATATCTTCTGGCCCTCATTTCTCAAGAGCTCCACAGGAGGGGAGCAAGGCCAGCTTCTAAACCTCTTATTCCCCATAACTTTTCTAGAGTTGATATTTTGCAAGCCCCAGGGAAATGGAACCATTTGCCAGATGCCTAATAACTGCTGCTTTTTTTGTTCTGGGAATGAGAAGAAGTTCCTCTGTCAACTGCTTACAGGCTCTGTGGATGGACCTTGTGGTGACTAGAATGAGTCAGAGGGGCCATCTGCCCACAAGGAGGGCAGCTGGGTGGGAGGCAGCCTGTGACCCAGAGTGCACTTACCAAGGGCTCTGTCTCAACAATAAGAATATGGTTCTTTTAGCCAGTCACTGGTGGCTCACGCCTGTAATCCTAGCTACTCAGGAGGATTAGATCTGAGGATAGAGGTTCAAAGCCAGCCCAAGCAGGAAGGTCCAGGAGACTCTTATTTTCACTTATCCACCAGAAAACCAGAAGTGGTGCTGTAGCTCAAGTTGTAGAGCACTTGCCTTGAGCTGAAGAGCTCAGGGACACTGCCCATGCACAGAGTTCAATCCCCACAACCGACCAACCAAACAAAAAGAATATGGTTCTTTTCTGGCAGGGGAGGAGGATGGGAGGGCAGAGATGGTAAGGCGAAACAAAGGAGGAGGCAACAATGCTTGATAAAATGTACTCATTACCTTGCCCACGTAATTGTAACCCCTGTGTAGGGTATTTTCACAATAAAAAACTTATTAATAAAAAAAATCTTTAAAAAATTTAGGATAAGTACTTGTACAAAGGAGATGCCATTTAAAACAGTTTATGAGTACAGTGCATCTTGATCAGTGTCCCTTTTCAATATTCTCACCCATCCCTCCCAACCTGCCCCTTGTTTTTAATTTTGTAGGATAAACATTAAATTTTTTATTTTTTAAATTTCATTGATGTACAGAGGGGTTACCATTCATGATTCAGGTAGTGAGTAGATTTCCTTTTGTACAGTGTCACCCTTTCCCTCATTCTCTTCCAGTGTTTCTCCTTCCAGTTTCCCATCCCTCAAAATTATACAGTTCATTTGTTCATTTCCAACATAGTGTCTAGTGTTTCATTGATGAATTGCTTCACCCTTTGTCATATTGTACCTGTGCTTCCCCTTCCACTCCCCAACTCAGATAATTTTATATACAAGACAAGGGGTACAGCAATTTAAAATAAAAGCGTCAGAGGGAAAAGGAAAAAGGAAAACAGAAAAAAGGAAGGAAGAAAAGAAAAAAGAACTGCAAACAGTATAATTCAAAACCCCTTCCATTTCTTAGAGTTTGTCTCAATAATCATCATTTATATGATTATTATTTTATATGATTATTGATGCACATAGCTATTGAGCCCTCCAATCCTCTCCTAAGGACGTCCTTCTTTGGTCTCACTGTGTGAATGCTTAGATTGCAAAACATTAAATTCTTACTGCATTCTCCTCACCCCCTCTTCATTTGTCTGCCCCTCTCCCAGTGCCCCTACCCCACCCCTTTCAAGTGCCCATTTCCTGATGTTCATTTTGTTGAACTCTGCCTTTGCCTTTCTAAGGAATTGTACTATTTGTGTTCTCTCTTGAATCTACCATGTTTCAGTTGATATATTAGGTGGTATGCAAGTGTATACAAATATATTAACTGATTATCTGATCAGAAATGTTGTCTGTCTGTGTATGCTGGGTTGGGGTGCATGGTCAAGGAGAATGCCATGTATCAGCACACATCCAGTCAACTGGCAGAGCCAAGAGCCTGCAAGGTTCTAATCCTGGCATCTTAGAAACATAAATGACCATGTCAGATCTCCCTGCCAGTTTTTACTTTTCTGGAGAGAGAGGGGTGGGGGGAGAGAGAGAGGGGAGAGAGAAAGTGTGTGTACAGGGTTTAAACTTATGTCCTCAAGCTCTTCACTCAGCTTTTGTACACATGGCTGACATTCTATCACTTGAACCACACTTCCAGTCCTGACCTTTTCTGGTAATTGGACAGAAATGTCTCACAGATGTGTCTGCCAGGGATGACTTTGAACCTCAGTCTTCAGATCTCAGCCTCCTGAGTGGCTAGGATAACAGCCTTGAGTAATTGGCACCAATTCTACCTCTAAGTTTAATGTTGATTTGTACTTAGGTTGTGTGTCAACATGAAAGGAAGATAAACCTTTAGAAGGACCAGGCTAACAGAGGCCGTGAGTCAAGCAGGCATGTGTCTTTAAGGAGCACATGCACCCACTCAGACCAGTTCCAGCTGCCTCCCCCACCCTGCCCTGGGATGGTCATCACTTTCTATTTAGCTGTGGCTATGAGCTGTTGGCACAGACTTACCTCAGCATCCCTCTCTGCAGAGTGGGCATCCTGAGGTGCATCTGCCATAGTGGAAGTGTGGGAAGTAGGGCTCATGCCCAGTGCATCTTGAATACAGGATATTCTGCACTAAAGTAAAAAGATTCAGCTGTTTTCCTGCGTAAGCTAGAATCCTCATGTTTCCCCTGAACATACTTCCTTATTGAAATTTCTTACTGAATACCCTAGGTGGTGTGTTCATACACTAGCTTGCTTATTGTCCGTCCTTCTGAAGCAGCTGCATGATTTAGCCAGTGAAAACTCCATGCACACAGTTCTAGGAGATGCATTTTGGCTTTAGGGGAAAAGGAAGCCTAGTCTGTTGGGAAACCAGCGCTGCCCTGCCAGCTCACTGAACAGCACTGTGAAGGCTGCTCCTGAACAGCAGCCACATGCAGTGATTGGTCTGTTTAAAGAGGCCTGAGGCCCAGACCTCTGAGGATCACATTCTGCCCATTCTCCCCTCTCTCCTTAGATCATGGCAGTTGCAGGCCTTGATTCCAGTAAAGCCCAGAAGTACTCACCAAGCCACTCAACCCGGTCATGGGTCACCCCTCCCGCAACCCCTCCATACCAGGACTGGACCCCGTGCTACACACCCTTGATTCAGGTGGATCGGTCAGAGTCACTGGACCAGGTCAATGGCAGCCTGCCGTCCCTGCACCGCAGCTCCTGGTACACAGATGAGCCAGACATCTCCTATCGGACTTTCACTCCAGCCAGCCTGACTGTCCCCAGCAGCTTCAGAAACAAAAACAGTGACAAGCAGAGGAGCGCAGACAGCTTGGTGGAGGCGGTGAGTATGGCTCTTGGCCACAGGAGGACGATGGGGGACCCATGGGCAGCATGGTGGAACAATGGAGGGCCAACCACACGCAGAGAAACGTGATGGTGATGTGGGTGAGCCCTGGAGCCAGGCTGCCTTAGGTTGATGCTTCTTCACAGCAGAAGTAGTCTTTAGGGTCTAAATGAAAACTGCCCACCACACCTAGTCTAAATCAATGAACTGCACTGCTATTCTGTGCTCAGTAGCTGGCATTACCTATGTGTGCCACAATTCGCTGGTGTTTTTCACTCCTGTTGGACCGTGTGGAGCGTTTTGGTCCGTGCCATTTTTCAGAGCTGAGGCCCTTTACAGTTAGTGTCATGTCTGAGGTCTAGTAGTACAGTGGGGCTGAGTCACACTGCTGTGAGTACTTAAGTTCACCCCACCCCCTCCCCCTCCCCACCCCACCAGGCCCCAAGCCTTCTATTGTTAATGTCATTCATTCTTTTTCCTGTGCAGGTCCTGATATCAGAAGGCTTGGGACGCTACGCAAGGGACCCAAAATTTGTGTCAGCCACAAAACATGAAATCGCCGATGCCTGTGACCTAACCATCGATGAGATGGAGAGTGCTGCCAGCACGTTGCTCAATGGGAATGTGTGTCCTCGAGCCAACGGGGATGTGGGCCCTGGCGCACATCGGCAGGACTACGAACTCCAGGACTTTGGTCCCGGCTACAGTGATGAGGAGCCAGAGCCCAGGCAAGAAGAGGAGGACCTGGCAGATGAAATGATCTGCATCACCACCTTGTAGCCTCACAGGAAGGGCTAGGGAAAAGTGCCTCGCGGTTAGGAAAAGTTTAGGCACTAGTTGGGAGGAAATACTCAATGAGCTTTCCGTACAAGGGTGATCATGCCTCCAGGAAGCCATAAACCTGGTAGGAATAGGCTTCCAGGATCCCAGCAGAGCACACGTGTGCTCAGGCCCAGCTGCAGGAGACAGCAGGCACAGCCACCTCCAGAGGATGAGTGAGCAAGGGCAGCCCAGCCCTGCCTGAAGGTCCAGATGGACTTCTGAGGAGTCCACCTCCATGTCTCCCTCCACCCAGGGCACCTGTCAGCACAGTGGGGAAGGTGAAAGGTGATGACGATGACCACACCTGTGTCATTACCTCAGTCATCAGTATAGCATATCAGACACTCACCAGGCCCAGCATATCTATTTTTAAATCTCTCCCCCTGAAACACTGCTTCCTGGTTCCCGTTAAGCTATTCTGAAATACAATGTGTATTGGAACCCAGCTACCAGTGGTCATCTCGAGGGGGAGCAGGACCTGATAGATAAGGTTTTCTGTTATGTGATGCCAGTTTACACAAGAGAACATCACTTGGATGGTCAGTTGTGACTGTCACGCTAAGGGCAGCTGTAAACTGGAATAATAATGCACTCGCAACCAGGTAAACTTAGATACGCTAGTTTGTTTAAAATATAGATTTACTGTACATGACTTGTAATATACTACACTTTGTATTTGTAAAGAGATGGTCTATATTTTGTAATTATCGTACCGTATTTGAACTGCAGCAATATCCCTGGGTCCTAACAATTGTAGTTTCCCACCCAAATCTAGAAATGATTGGTATTTTTACTTGGGCTATACAGAAGTAGAAGAAATAGAGCCAATTCTCACTTCTTTAGTGAAAATTCTCGGGGGGGTGGGGGGGGGGACAAGGGGGTAAAATTTTGAGTTCAACAGAACTTAACACACACTACAGAAATTTTTCTAAAATATTTTGAGTCACTATAAACCTATCTTTACATAAGATATATAAGATGACTATTTTCAGTCTTTTCATTGGACGAAAGTTCTATGATTTTTTTATATTGTACCTTCTTGTTCACTAAGGGTTGCAACTGTTCTGGGTTTGCTTTTACTTTAAAAGTTACCGAGTAGGTCCAGCTGCCTACTCTTTACCCCAAGCATCTTATTGTCACAGTCTGGTTTTCTCAGTTGTCCACACAGGCTGTTTCTGCATCTGTTGTGAAAATAATCATGTAGGTAAATGAAGCATGTTCGTGCTCATCCCCCAGGGACTGGCAGTGTTGCTTGTCCTAAGAACGAAATGATGTTGGGATGGGGTGGAGGGAGCATCATGGTGACCCATAAAGTTAGAATGTCAGGGTCTGTCCACATCATTCTGTTGCCTTTTACGAAACATTGCTGTGCTATGTGTCCCCTATGATAGCTGTTATATGCAATTGAATGAGGGCTGAAGTTTTTAGAAGAGTACAGTTACTCCAACTGTGTGCTTCCCATTTGGGGCTCATTAAGATTGTCAAGGTTTTCTTTCCTGCTATCAGAATCGTACTGATGTCATCAAGTTACCACACAGGGATTCCCTGCAATGAAAAAAGACAGGTAATGACTTGGGTTCAAATTTTTTTTACTACATAGACAACCTGTCAGCTTTTTTTTTTTTGTAAATAATACTTTGTTATGAAGACCTCACAGACCTCTTCGTAAGACATTCTTACTCAGATCCAGGCAAAAATACTTCAAGGTTTGTAAATGACTATTTCCTGACATAAAGCCTTTTTTAAAAAAATTAAAACGTTCTTCAGAATAAAAGTGTGTAATAATTTCCTTGTATTCAGGAGCTCTCCTCGCAGAGTTGGCTTTGCCAGGGAGAGCTTCCAGGGGGCAGGTGTTCTTGGGGCAGCTCTGTAATCAGGTAGCTTTTTTGTTCTCCAGCTCCTTCACGGTAACTTAATTCAGCTGCAGAGAGCACTGCTTCTCCTAAAGGGCTAATCCACCATCAACATTACCTTGGACTGTGTGGCTTAACATCATCAGGCCAAACCCACCAGCCCACACTGTGTGTTCTGGGATAGGCACTGAGCTTTTCTAAAGTCATTCCTGAATCACTGGTGGGTTTACAGGCTGTGCCACTTCTGGGTATCTGTCTGCTTTAAGTCTAATTCAACTTCTCACCTTACATTAAATGTCTCTTTGTAAGAAAAATTTGGAGTTGTAGAGCATGATTTGTTCCCCTTGCTTTAGGAAGAGGTTTTAAAACTGACTTTCTCTATTTTGCTTTTCCCTCCCTACACTCCCCAAATGATTGTGTCCACAGAAATAGTATATTTGGTTTAATCTTGTGTTTATAATATACCTTGAGGTAGAAAGGGCTACTATGAGTTAACTGCCAGTCAACAGTGAGAACCTCATTAGGAATCATTTCTGTTCAATGTGCGGTCAGTTTCCATTCAGATAGCTGGACCTTGCTTAGCCAGGGTCTCCTTTCCTGTTGCATTACAGAGTATGCTGCAGGCTGGGATGAGCAGGTCTCAAGGTTATGGTGGTCCTGCTCTTAAAAGAAGCCAGAGTGGTTTATTTTAAATAGTGTTCTTTTTCACAGTCTGAAGTGTCTTTGCCAATTGCATTTTAAATTTTTTTTTATTTTCTTGTAAGGATGCTGTACAGAGAGGTTGCAGTTACATCAGTAAGTTAATGAGTACATTTCTTGTGGAGCATTGTTACCCCCTCCTTTTTCTCCTACTATCCCTTCCTTCCCCCATCTCCCCCCCACAACTGCATTTCTTTACCATCTTTTCTTTTTAGGATGCGCAGCTTACTTGTAGAAACTGGTTCACCACAAAGCTGATGTCACATGTACAGCCTCAACTCCCTCTCTGGCCCACCCAACTCAAAAACTGACTCCAGCCCTGCTGTTGTTTGTTGAAAGGTTATTTGGTCTCTCTCTTCTGGTACTGAGAAGGCAGGTGAAGTAGTCTGAAGACATCCTGGAGGGAACAGCCAGGGCCAATGTGCAGGACATGTATTTTTTCCTAATTTTTTAAAAAGTTAGAAAAAAAACAAAAACCTTTTTTTTTTTTTGGTCAGTTGTGGGGCTTGAACTCTGAGCCTGGGTGCTGTCCCTCAGCTCTTCAGCTCAAGGCAAGCGCTCTACCACTTGAGCCACAGTACTACTTCTGATTTTCTGAGTAGTTTATTGGAGATAAGAGTCTCATGGACTTTCGTGCCAGGCTGGCTTTGAACTGTGATCCTCAGATCTCAGCTTCCTGCGTAGCTAGGATTATAGGCATGAGCCACCAGCATCTGGCTGAAAACAAAACCTTTCTATTAGATCTGTCATACTGGTTTATCAGTGGAAATATGAAAAAACTTTTGGGCTAAGGGGGTATTGTTTTGTTGGAGAGAAGACGTATTTGAATTTATGGAAATGATTCCAGGAGCTTCCCCCTGGATAGTACCTCCACCCCCTACTTCTAGGACTCACCCTTTCTGGTCTTGCTGGCGGTTACTCCCAGACCCTCTCCATGGCCTGTCCTTTATTCTATCAGGCACAGCTGCTGCTGCTGCTGCTGCAGTCAAGTAAACAGGTTTTTTCAATGCTGTAGGTTAAGTCAGGACTCTGGGCACATTTAGAACTTTCTGACCTTTTCAACCAGTTTTTGCAAAGCAGTTTTGTTTTGGGCAAGCTTTTGCCAAGGGGCCAAGCAGGTGAAGTCTACCTGATTCCCTATGAGACTAACGTGAGTGGATCCAGTTTGCACACTACTTTGTAGAGCAAATGAGCACTACAGCCGACAGTGCTCACCCCCTGGATGAAAAGCTCCCCACTCAGCAGTGGAACTTCCAGCTGGCCTGTGTGCATTTAGCATTGTGAGGGTCCTACGTTCATATCTGTCATTTAGCCTGCAGCTGGAAATGGGAGGAGCCATGCTGGCCATTCAGAAACCCCATACAGACCACAGCAATTTCCTGCTGGACTTGAGTTCTTCACACATGACGCTTGTTTCTTGTCTTCTGAAACAGTTCCTTATGCAGCTGTCTTTGATAAGGCAGAACAGGCCTCAGTACATGAAAATGGGAGACGGGCCTGGTTGCAAGTAGGCAGCATGGTGGGCAGGTTATTATTAAGTTGGTTTATCTTAAGTTATACTGCTGGTCTGAATCAGCCATTGCCTCAGAGTCTGAGATTCCAAGCACTTAGAGATGGTGGAACTGTCACCTGCACCATCTGTATCCATCCACAGTCCTCTTACTTCTTACCCCTTCCTGGATTCTGCACCCTCTGGAGGGAGGGTGGCATGTGGTCTTCAGAGCAGTGTGGCTGGGACCCAAGCCCTCCATTATTCCTGTACCACTAAGGGTATCTCCAAAACCTAGAGGATGGACAGCAGTGACCAGTTACCATGGACCAGGTGGAGGACCTGCTCTAGAAGACTCTTGGCAGACCTACAATTTTGTTTTTTAACCATCTCTTGGAACAGGAAAAAAACAAGATACAGGTAAAACAAGATCTACCTAAAGTTTTTAAAGAAGTGTAATAGTTTCCTATTACACTTTTATTAGTATGCTTATAAGCATAATAAAGTATTTCTGGAAGGTTTTCCTCAGAAATTTCCGTTGTGGCCATGGAACCTCCAACATCTGCAAGTTTCCTCAACCCACCCCATCTTTGATGCCTAGAGTTCTTGGTGGTCTCCCCACCTTGTTCTGGGTCCAGCACTGGGGATAGGTTTACATGTGGCAATTTGTTTCAGTTCTCTGCTATAGATGGTGGGTTTGGACATCTTCAGAAAGCCCAACCCAAAATTCATTTTACTTTTAATCTCTTGTAAGAACAATTGTGATAAGGTGTGTCCATTTAAAAATAAGTTACTATATTACCAAACTCTTAAGAAAGTAACCTATCAAAGAGCTTTTGTAAATGTTGTTTGTATGATTTCTCCCCCTGGAAACTCAAATCTTCATTGATATATTTTGCTGTCAGTTGTATTTTGCTGCTTTCCATCAGTACCAGTGCCATCCTGTCTGTTCCCATGGATGTCTAGAGAATAAACTAGCTCTGTCAGCTGGGCTGCTTCCCAGGGCCTCTGGAAAAGGTCATGAGGGACTTGCTGCCCCCCATGTGGAGAGGGGACCTGGTATGTGGGGTTGGCTCTTGGATTTGTGTTTTGTTTGTTTTGCCAGTCTTGGGGTTTGAACTTGGCCTGGGCACTATCCTTGAGCCTCTCTGTATTCAAGGTAAGTGCTCTGCCACAGCACCAACCACAGCACCACTTCTGGCTTTTTCTGGTTATGTGGTACTGAGGAATTGAATCCAGGGTTTCATGCATACTAGGCAAGCACTCTACCACGAAGCCACATTTCCAGCCCTTTTTAAAAAATTTTATTGATTGATTGCTGGTCCTTTGGATTGAACTCAGGGATTGGGTGCTGTCCCTGAGCTTTTTTCTTTTTTTTTTTTCAGCTGTGGGGCTTGAACTCTGGGCCTGGGCACTGTCTCTCAGCATTTCAGCTCAAGGCTAGTGCTCTACCACTTGAGCCACAGCGCCACTTCCGGATTTGGTGTTTTAAAATGGTTTAATCATGAAACCTTTGCTAGTGAGGCCCTCCTTGAACAGGTTCAGGAGGCTCCTCTTAGATACTCAAGTAAAACTAGAACCCCACAGTCCCCTGACAGAGCCCCTGTACCAGGCTCACTTAGAGAAAGTGAATGAAGAGACAGATGAGAGGAAAGCCCAGATTTCCTCCACCTGGGGCAATTGTGCAGCCCAAACCAAGCTTACTCTGGCATGGCTCTTGGCCTGACTAAATAAAGCTTGCCGCTTGAGAGGAGGATGCCGTTTCTGTGAGGAACCCAGTGTGGTCTCAAAGACCCATCTCAAGGGCTGTCTTTAGAAAATGTTCAAGGCAGCAGGACCCCGGATTGAAGGCCAGGTGGACATGAGACAAGGACATGGCCAAGGTTAACCCTCTTCTACTGGGCTCCCTTCCCCTTGCTGTCCCCTCAGGAGGTGCAGAGGAGGGGCTCACAGAGGAAACGCTGAGCAAAGTGCTGGTCAGTCCTGGTCTCACTTCCTAAAACATGATCCAGATAACCCTGAGTTGATATTCCAGACAGTCTGAAGCAAAGGCATTTGGAGTAAAGGCTGTGCCGGGTAGTCCTCTTGGCTTCTCTAGTCATTGTCAGGCAGTAGCTGCCTTAGCGCTGGGTAGCTAAGGTCTTGGGCTTGTAGACAGGGACATCCTTGTCCCAGAGTACAGGCTGTCCCTTAATAATGTCAGCTGCTTTTTCTGCAATCATGATTGTGGGGGCATTCAGGTTGCCACTGACAATGCTGGGCATGATAGAGGCATCGATGACCCTGAGGTTTTCTACTCCAAGAACCCTGGTCTGTGGATCTACCACGGCGGTGGGATCGGAAGGCTGACCCATCTTACAAGTGCATGAGGGATGGTAGGCACTGTCAACTTTCGCCTGCACAAAGGCATCTATCTCTTTATCTGACTGGACATGGCTTCCTGGCTGGATCTCTTCTCCCCGGAAGGGAGCCAGGGCTTCCTGCGCAAAAATTTCTCTGCTCAGCTTTATACAATGACGAAAGTCTTCAATATCGGTTTCTGTGGAGAAGAAGAGACAAGTGAGGCCCTTCCTCTTATCAGGCTGGCCTACTAGAAGATTCACAGCATGGAGAGGCTCCACGAGTTGCTGGAGGCCAAAGTTCAGGGACATGGAAAACAGAACCACCATGTATTTGTCACCTGCCCATTGGTGGTTAGATGACAACAGAGTCTGTTGGTGAGGCCCAGGCTGAATGAAGTCAGGAGTCTGACTCCTCTAGAACACAAGGATAAGAACCAAAGCTCTGCCACCATGGGAAGGTGAGTGCTCCGTTCCATCAGGGGCAAGACTTGCCCAACAAGGAGTTCTTTCGGCTCCCTGAAAAGAAGCAGGCCCAGAAATATGACTTGCTTCTAAACTAGATCATGCTGGAATAAGTACCAGGAGATACCATGGGGCATGCACAGGCCTGGCACTGACACCTTCTATAGACATCTCTGAAAGCCAAGCCTCTATCTGCTTTGCAAAGTAAGTTTCCAAGTTGTTTTTGATGACTCAAGTGTCCAAGGGTAGAGTAACATGTTAGGAAATAGAGCCTAAAGCCATTCCTTCATTCAGGTCCAAGTCCAGGTCCAGGCCCAGAGGAGATGTAGGTAGCCACGGAATTACCTGTGGACAAGTAGTTGGGTTGGATCACAGGATGATCCTGGGGGTTTGTACTTCTCAGCTTGAGCCAGCCCACACTTGTGGCCCGCATGGGACCCACATGTACCTAAGAGGATCCAGGGAGAAAACAATGTCATCCATAGTGACCTCTATTAACTCCAACTCTCTCCCTGGCTTTCCTATGCGGTTGGACTCTGCATCCCTTTTTGGGCAGATGCACTTTAGCATGTGCCTATATTTTACCCCATCTACACAAGTGATTAAAAACCATGTCAATGAATGGTTCCTCCCACCAAGCTTTATACTCTATTGCCTAAACCTTTCAGGGTGGCAATCCAGCCCTGTACATTTGCTTAGGTAGGACCTAACTCAGCAGTGACACACAGACCGACTTGCCAGGTTCTCCTTTCTCCCCTCTCAGACACTGAGCCACTGGAGGGCAGGAGACTGAAGGCCCTGCTACAGTGGGGAAGACACCAACACAAGGACAGAAAAGGCAGCATCCACAGCAGAGGCCTCTTGCTTACCTGATAAGCCTCCTGCTGGGTAGGGACCCGCCCATGGTCAATCACTTGGGATGGCAGGAAATGAAACTGGATGTCTGGATGGGGAACCCCAGGCCGGCTTCGAATGAACCCACCTGTTTCCAGATGGTTTGTGGCTCCTTCTCCTGAAGATCAGAAGAGGACAAGCAGAAGAGGCAGTCAGGGCATGGCAGGTAGGCTGGCTACTTCTGGTGTCCATCCTTAACCTTAGGCAGCCCCTTTCATCTTTCTGGCCTTGATTCTAAGACCTAGCACCCAGCCCTGTCCATGGCTGTCCTCTTTCCCCCCTAGTGGTCTCCACTTAGTGCTATGGCTTTAAACGTCACCCATGTGCCAAATGGGGAGCATCAGCTTTGCCAGCTCTATGTTCCTAGTGGCCTTCCCACCGCTGAGCTCAAGGGGCAAGAGTGTGAGCACCTTGAAATTTTTGCTCCTAGTGAATGAAGAAGTCTTCAAGGAATGGTCGGTCCCCTGGCAGAGGCAGAGCTGGCACTCAGTTGCTGAAGACCAGGTGCTGATTCTTCAGCTAGTACCAAGGTAGCCTCTGGGTCTCTTCTCCTGGCTCATGGACCAGCCTAAGGCCATCCCCTATCTACTTAGGAGAAGAACAGTACTCAACTCCTGTGGTAACACTTACAGCTAACCCCTTGACGTGCTACTGCTTCCAGTCTTCACACCAGCCTATCAGGTGGGACCTTCGTGTCCTTACTTTGTGGATGGTAAGACGGCTTAGGGTTCAGCTTTGTACCCAGCTACCTGAGGCCAAAGCCATTGCTCAGTTCCTCAGCAAGAAGACCACAATGCCCACAGATCATTTCCTCCAAGATCCCAGAGGCGCATGCCTACCTGTGAACCTCCACAACCACTCCAGACCGATGCGGACCTTCCGCAGGAGCTTCTGAGATGAGTGCAGGGTGATGGGGCGGGTGCATGCCTGCTGGACGTATATCTCCAGATGGTCTTGCAGGTTTTGGCCAACTCCTGACATGAGAGGGAGTTGTCAGGAAAAAATGCTGCCCTCCCCAGGGAAGGTGCCACAGCTCCACTTCCTTAGCTGGCTTCTTAATGCCCCTCGACCACTCACCTGCTAAGCCACTTCCTGCTTATTTTTTTGGGTCTCAGCTTAAAAGTTACCACCATTCCTGCACTTGTAGTCAGGTCTGGTCTTCCTTCAAATGCTGCCAAAGCCATCTAACTCTGTCACACCTTCTAGAACCGCCACCCAGGTGCCCTTGGCCAGATCCATTCAGTAGTTCCCTCCCGAAGGCAGTCTATGCCCACAGTAGACATCACTTGGTGAATGGCCACTGCATGATTGTTGGCCAACAGTAGTCCTGCCCCTCTTCAGGGGACCTTCAGAAGAAGGAAGCCACCCCGGCATGTTGTGCAAACCCTGTGGAATCTCATCCAAGCTCAGGGGCATGCTTGGCTGGTCACAGTCACACACCCGCACTTCCACAGGCACTCATGGTAAAGCCAACATAGGACAGCCAGCCCTCTGAGCACAGAAGAGTAAGACAGCGCCTCCAGGGCATCATAGTTTATGAAATGAAGTTCAGATCTTCACAATGAGAGCAGGCTTTGGAGCCCTGAGTTGGCCTCATTCATGCTTGGGGTAGCTGGAAAGTTCTGGGAGTGAAGCTCTCTGGTCACAGAGATGCCTTGGTGATGAGTCTAGTCCTGCTCCTGCTATGGGATGCTTTCCTCCACTTGGGTGAGGCTGCCAGGCAGCCTGGAGTCTAGGGTAAGTGTCTACTTAAGTCAGAGGACCGTTGGGCTCATGGGAAGGATGACAGTTCCAAGGAACTGCTTCTTGTCCCTTCATGATAATTCAACGAGCCATTGTTTCTACACAGCATTGAAACTAATAAGGTCGCAGTGAGGGAGGGACTCACCAGGCAGGTGGCACACCACAGGGATGCCCAGTTTCTTGAGGTCATCTCCATTCCCAACTCCTGAGAGCATTAGCAGCTGTGGAGAGTTGATGGCACCCCCACTCAGAATCACTTCCTTGCTGGCATAAGCCTGAAAGACAGGGGGGTGCTGCTCACACTTCCTGAAGGGCCAGTTCTGCTTAATTCATGGACCAGCACTCAACTCCAGCCAGCACCATAAGAACATGGCCTTGGGATGCTGTACCCACATGGTAGGCCAGGAACACTGCTACCACCATTGAGAGCCTGCTCACAGACTCAAGAGAAAGATAGATAAATCTTGCTAGGCTGCTCTCTGAAAGCAACCTGCATATGCAATCCTGGTGTGTGAAAATCAGGTGTGGCCCAACAGCCAGACAGTAATGGGGAGACGGCTACACATTCAGTGCAGTCCTCATCAAAAGTTTAATGACAATGACAGACAAAAACAATCCTAAAATTCCCTGAATAGCCAAAGAAATCCTGAGCAAAAAGAGCAATGCTTTCAGATTATACTATGGATCCATAGTAACAAAAACAGACTGGTACCACCACAAAAACCAATATGTGGCCCAATAGAACAGAATTAGAAGACCCAGAAATAAATCCCTGGTATCTTTGCCACTACCAGACACATACTGGAGAAAAAAAAAAATGGTGCTGGGAAAGCTGGATATTCACATGTAGAAGACTGAAAAACTAGATCCCCTATCTCTCACCCTACAAAAAAAAAAATTACTGGAGAAAAACACTGGAAGATATAGGTATAGGTAATGACTTTCTGAATAGGACTCAATAGCTTAGAAAATAATAATGAAAATTGGCAAATTGAGTTGCATCAAACTAAAAAGCTCTGGTACAGCAAAAGAGCCAGTCACTAAAGCGAAGAGACTATCAATAGGATATGAGAAACTCTTTGCCAGCTATTCATCCAATAGAAGATTAACATCCAGAATATATAAATAACTCAAACTATTAAATACTAAAGAACAAATCATCCACTCAATAAATGGGTAAATTACTGAACAAACAGTTCTCAAATTAAGTATAAATAGCCAATAAAGACATGAAAAAATGTTTACCATCTTTAGCCATAAAGGAAATGCAAATAAAAACCACACTGATTGCAGCTCACCCCAGATAACTAGAATGGCTATCATCATCTAACCAAAGAACAGCAAATGCTCTTGAGGATGAAGGATAAAATGGTGGGAATATAACTTTCCACAATGGAAATCAGTATGGAAGTTCTTCAAAAAACTAAAAACCAGCCTAGGCAGGAAAGTTCCTAAGAATCAACCCCCCCACCCCCGCAAGTCAGCAGTGGAGCTGTGGCTCAAGTGGTAGAGCACCAGCCTTGTGAGAAAAGCTAAGGAAGGGTGCCCAGGCCCTGAATTCAAGCCCTTAGTATTGGAACGAACACACGAACACACACACACAATGTGCTAATAAAAAATGAGTAGGAAAAAAGAGGAAGGGCAGTTCTCAAAAAAGAACAATGATGTCAGACACTCAAGAGGCTTAAAAGAAGCTGAGCAAAGCTACCTCTGGTGGGCTACTGGGCAGAGAAAACAACCATACAGAATGCCAATGATCAAGGGTTTTAAAAACTCCAGGGTAAACTGATCGCCCGGCAGGTCAACACCCTCAACTGTGTAGAAGGTACTGGGGGCTGCCCTGCCCTGAGAGTGGTAAGAGAGGTTCATGGGGCACTCACTCCAGGATGCCGTGGGGTCTTGGTAGGTGGCAGGACTGGGAGATTCCTTCACTTTCTCCAGGGACAATTCACTTGCCACTGCAGCTGCTCACTCAGCACAGCTTACAGCTGGGGAGGAGGACCCGACCTCAGGGGTCACTGTCTACCCTGACTGCCCTCTGAACTGCTGCCTGGCCCCTGCTGGAGTTCACTCACCCTGTGGCTCTGGCCGTTCTTGAAGTATTCCACACCCACTGCCCGGGTGCCCTCAAACAGCACCCTGCTCACCAGAGTCTGGACCTCAGCTCTGAGGTTGGGGCGGCTCAGTGCCGGGTGTAGATAGGCACAGGCGGTGCTCCAGCGCTTACCTGCAGGATAGAACAAGAACAGGCGTAGCTCTGGCCTTTGCCAGGCCTTTCCCTGCTCCTAAACAGGAGAAGGGAACTAGAGAAAGAGCAAATTGGCCCTGTCTCTAGCTGCAAGGCCTGCCTTCATGGTAAGACTGAAACCGAAAGATCCTGCCTTCCAGAAGCCATCTTCTACCCAGCTCCCCAGGTGGCAAACCACCCTCTACCCTGACAGGATGACAACACTGGGAGCAGACAGAAGGAGCGAGAACCCTAAGGAGACGGCCGGGCCCTGGTCAGTCCTGCCCTGCTGCAAACACGGTCCTGCACGGCGCTCTGGGCCTATAAAGGAAAGTCATGACCAACGTGCGTGAAGGAGCCAGGATGATGGGCCTGGAGGGCCCCGGGCTCCTGGCTACCCGCTCTTCCCAACTGCAGGTTTCTAGAGGACTCTTTGTTCTCCATAGCCCATACCAACAGGACCCAGGGAGGCTGCACCCAGGGTGCCACTGGCGTCTAGGGGTGGTGCTGGAAGGGTGGTGCTGGGTCGCTGTTGGGGGGGGAAGAGGGTGCTACCTTCGTGAATGGTCATGTCCATCCAGCCGAAGCCCTCCTGCTGGAAGCCGTTCATGTCGTCGGTGAAGGGGTAGCCGGCCTGCTGGGTGGCCTGCAGGAAGGCCTGGTGCAGCGGGTGCCGGGTCCTGGCCCGGGACACGCGCAGCGGCCCCTGGCCGCCGCGGTACTGGCTGGCCCCCAGCTCGTGGCCCTGCGCCTTGCGGAAGTAGGGCAGGCAGTGCGCGTAGTCCCAGCCCTCGGCGCCCTGCTGGTGCCAGCGCTCGTAGTCCTCGGCGTGGCCGCGGATGTAGACCATGGCGTTGAGCGACGAGGAGCCCCCCCAGACCCGGCCCCGCGGCCAGTACAGCACGCGGCCGCCCAGGCCCGGCTGCGCCTCGGTGTGGTAGTACCAGTTGTACCTGTCGTCGCACAGGTTGGACACGAGCGCCGCGGGCATGTGGATCTTCCACAGCAGCCGCTTGCTGCCCGCCAGCACGTCCTTGGGCCCGGCCTCCAGCAGCAGCAAGCTGTGGCCCGGGTCCTCGGTGAGCCGGCTGGCCAGCACGCAGCCCGCGGAGCCCGCACCCACCACCACGTAGCTGAACTCGGCCCGGGCGCCCGCACTGGCCACTGCCCGGCTACCTGCAGGCGGGCGCAGCCCTGTCCAGGCCGGGGCTCCACGCGGGCCCACGCGCGCTCGCCTCCAGCCTCTAGGGACGCGCCACATGCTTCCTGCCCAAGCCTTCCTCTCCACCTAGGGCGAAGATGGCTAGCGTTGCCTGGAACAGGAAAAAAAAAGAGGAGAAGGACACTTTAAGAATCAGCTCATACACATGCCTAATGCAGACCACCAAGGGCCCCCCCAGCTGGGATGGGGCAGCCAGGCCCAAGTCACAGCCCTAGGGAAGTAAAGGAAGGGCTGGATTTTCAGGACTGTGTTATCAGAGCCAGCACCCTTCCTGGGCTAGTTTTGGCCAGGAGGAGGTGTTCCCAGAAGGGAATATGCATGACCCCAGTGGGGCTGGAAGTCTAGCTGGGAAGAGGGTGGAAGAAGGGGGAGGGAGAGGGGGGTGGGGAGGAGGGGAGGGAAGGCAGGGAGGGTTTTCCAAATAAAGACAATAGGGTATTTGCTCTGCACTGGAGTATTTACACCTGACTCTCAAATCATATGGTCTAAAGGAGTTAGGGTGAGGGGCCTAGACTGTGGAGCTCATTGCATTTGACCTGAGGGATCTCTGAATGCACCAGAGAGGATCTTAGACAGGGGACAGCGACAGAGCCACACTCTTCAAAGATCACTCTGTAGAGTGGTGAAGTTGGGAAATACTAATGGCGCTTTTTTTGTAAAGATACTGTACAGAGGGGTTACAGTTACATGAGTAAGGTAATGGTACATTTCCTATCGAGCATTGTTACCCACTCCTTTGTTTTTCCCTACTATCCCTTCCCTCCCCACCTCCCCAACTCCTCCCCACCCCCCACCAAAGTTGTAAAGTAGGAGTACATCTTATTGTTACAATGAGTCAACCTGTATCCTTGTTTTTATTGGGTCTTCCAACAGTGTTCAAATCAATCTCACAGTGTTCCAGGGTGAATGCTATCAAAATCTTCATTGAAGGTGCAGTGGGACAGATCAGGGAAAATGAGGCATGAAAACAACAGCCAGAATTCAGAGACAAACATTGGAATAGTCCAGGAATTCATAGACAAACATTGGAATAGTAGGCCAGGCAAGGAACTTTATACCTGTAATCCTAGCTATTGGGAAGTCAGAGATAGGGAGGATTGAGGTTTGAGGTCAGCCCAGGCAAAAAGTTTACAAAATCCCATCTCAACTAACAGCTGAGCATGGTGGTGGCACACCTGTCATCCTAGCTATGCAAGAAGTGAAAATAAAAAGATACTGATCCAGACCAGCCTGGCATAAATGTAAGACCTTATTTGAAAAATAAAGGCAAACGGGCTGAAGGTATGACTGAAGTGATAGAGTACCTATCTAACAAGCAGGAGACCCTGAGATCAACCCCTACTACCACTAAAAAACAAACCAAACAAACAACACTATTAGTAAAAGGCTTGGGCAAGTGGACAAGGTCAGAAGGAACTACCTTTTTGCCTCTTTTTCTTTTTTTAAAATTATTTATCATAGCTTAGTGAGGGACTGAAGCTTAAAGCAAAGAAAGTGGTGCACAATGCTTTTTGTTGTTGTTGTTGGTCATGGGTTTGAACTCTGGGCCTGAGCACTGTCCCACAGATCTTCAGCTCAAGGCTAGTGCTCTACCACTTGAACCACAGTGCCACTTAAGGTTTTCGTGGTTTATTAGAGTCTCGTAGACTTTCCTGCATGGGGTGGCTTTGAAGTGCGATACTCAGATCTCAAGCCTGTCTGTCTGTCACTGTGATTTAAGAGTATATCTGTATATTTTGGATAACTGTTTTATCACATATGTCTTCTGCAAATATTTAATTCCAAGCAGTGGCTTAGTTTTTTAAAAATATTTATTTATTTATCTATGTATGTATTTGTTTATGCCAGTTCTGGGGCTTGAACTCAGTGCTTGTTTTATTGTTTTGTTCCAGGCTAGTATCTAACCTGGAACCACAACCACTTCTGTGTGTGTGTGTGTGTGTGTAGTGGTTATAGCACCTTTTGTTGACTATTTTTGCTACATTGTGTTGTCTTTACTCGTTGGTCAACAATCATTGACTATGTTTTTGTATGTTTATTATTTCTGGGCTTTCTATTCTATTACTATATCTGTCTGTTCATCTACCAATAGTAAACTATCTTACTGGAGCTTCATAGTAAGTTTTAAATTCTGGTAGTCTCAGTCTGCTTACCTATTTTTTTTCTCTTTGAGTATTCTATTTGCTATTGGGTCTTTTGCCTCTGTATATTAATATTGGACCAATTTATAGATGGCCCATAAGATCGCTTGCTGTGGTTTTTATTTGGATTGTATAGAATTTGTTAAGTTGCAAAGAACTGCCATCTGATAATATTGAGTCCATGATTATTCCACAATATAGGTAAATAGACTGAGACTACCAGAATTTAAAACTTACTATGAAGCTCCAGTAAGATAGTTTAGTATTGGTAGACGAACAGACAGATACAGTAATAGAATAGAAAGCCCAGAAATAATAAACATACAAAAACATAGTCAATGATTGTTGACCAACGAGTAAAAACAACACAATGTAGCAAAAATAGTCAACAAAAGGTGCTATAACCACTACACACACACACACACACACACACACACACACACACACACA